ATAAATAAATAAATAAATAAATAAATAAATAAATAAATAAATAAATAAATAAATAAATAAATAAATAAATAAAGATTATGTTTTTTTTTTGTCAACAATAATAATAATGGGTCCCTCCATGCATTGCATGGGGCATAGAATGCCATTGCTCAGCAGTGGCATTCTATGCTCCTTGCATTGCAATGGCAGGCACTAAAAATCTCTTCGCCATAGTGATAATAGGAAAAAAAAGAATAATAAGATAAGTCATAGATCCCTAACTGAGAGGTTATGGGTGCACTTAAACAGGATAACTGAAATTTTTCCTAGTTGCTAAAAACAGCCAGTAAAGATGCTGAAGACCTGGTGGAATCTGATCTCGTAAGCAAGAACAAATTGTGAACATAGCTACAGAGCTCTGCAGGACTTAGTGTTTATGGAGGGATGAATTGGGAAAAGTAGAAAGAAGAGAATATCTTCTGCAAATCTAAATTCAACAAACATTTAAAGAAACATATATAAGTTTGGTTGTTTTTTTTCGATGGTGTTCACTGTATATTCTTAAGAATGTCCTATAAATACACTTATTTCATTTTCTCTATAGGTGTTATATGTTCTGTCTGCATTCATATGTACGGTAACGTGTAAACAAAATGTCATCATGACACTAAAGACATCTGCTCATTATCACATTTAAGATTCTTGATTTTGTAAGCCCTTTCTGTCTCAATCGTTTCTGAGCTGCTCTTTGCTTTTTTCTTTACTGGTAACTTTAAAAAATCTCCATTATAATTTCAATTAGAAAAATCAAAACAAATATAAATAAGGGATACATGATTACAAATGTAGGTTAAAAGGTCAAAGATTTATTTCCATAATTTTCCATAAATATTTGCAGCAGGATTTAAAATCCTTACCAAATTTGTTTTGCAATAAATAATATTACAATCACATCTAAAATCAAAGATCAATATTTAAATTAATACTTATTTTTTCATATGAAAAACTAGCTTTATGATGCCCATCTCAGAACCATCTTCTTATACAGGCTGCGTATTTTGGACATATTCAGACCGTATAGAACTGGGTTAAAGAGAGGCTGACAAGTGAGAAAATAAAGGGCTAAGAACATTCTCAGCACACCAGGAACTTGGGTCATGTCAAATCGACTCTCTAAGATTTCAATGGAAACACCAAAAGAGAAATTGATAATTGAAATAAGGTGAGGAGTGCAGGTACTGACAGCCTTCTGCCGGGTCTGTTTGGATCCAGAAAAACACACCTTAAGGATCCTCATGTAGGTGTAGAGAATCACAGACAGAGGAACACAAACTGTGAGAAAAGTCATGAAAAGTTTATAGATGTTATTGACCCTGGGCTCTTTGCAAGCCAGTTTAATGATGGAGTTATTACCACAGTAAATTTTATCCATGATATTTCCACAAAGCTGCAGAGAGGAGCTTAAAATGATTGCACCCCCGACAGCTAAAAATGGTGGAAGCCAAGTAATGGACACCAGGAAGGCAATTTTCTGTGAAGTCATCAGTGAATTATACTGCAGAGGATGACAAATAGCAACATATCTGTCATAGGACATAACTGCTAAGCTGGTGAACTCTACAGTTCCATAAGTATAAACACAGAAAACCTGTAGGAAACAAAGAGGAGCAGAAATATTGTGAACATCAGAGAGGATGTGAAGCAGCATGAAGGGAAAAAAGCTTGTGCTGCCGTACAGTTCATTGACAAACAGGCTGCACAGAAACGTGTACATTGGTTCATGTAAGCTCCTGTTCACACAGATAACAACGATCAGTAGAACGTTAGAACCAACGATTAAAACATACAGAAACAGGACGATAAAGAAAGAGAAGTACTTCAATGAACCAGTGTCAATGTAGGCACTTAGAGTGAAATATAAAACCTGAGTGGAATTTATTTTCATTCCTGCATTAGTTTTTAATTCAATCATAATTATGACTCAGTGGGTAAACTAATTGCCCAAAAAAATATCCATCTGTATAAAGAACTGAAAAAGTTAATTAAATTTAACAGTAACACAATATAAAAAATATAACTCAACGGAGTGTGTTTTCAGCAAAGCAAGAGGCGATCAATCAATTAACTGTGGAAAAGTCACACAACCAAAGGCAGCATCAATTTAGGACCTGTTATTCATGCTAAGGCTAATAACTGAGCTCAGCTCTGCTTCTGTCTCTCTTAAAGAGATGATCCAGAGAGACACTCCCAAACATTGATTGTGATGGAAACGGCAGTTCATTTTGGTTTACTGAATCACTAGAACCAGTTCATTACAAGGATTTACTCAAATGACTCGTTCATTTAATTAAAGTATACACACACACAAGCACACACACACACAGCTTTTTTTGTCATGACATATGGGGACATTTCATTGACTTGGATTCATTTTATATGGCCCAACCTAGACAATAACCCCATCTATTACAAACATATATCTCACATGGATCGAATACGCACACAACTCCCTCAAATCTGCTTCCACTGGTCAATCTCCCTTTCAGGTTAGTCTCGGTTATCAACCTCCACTTTTCCCCGCAGACGAGAGAGAGATTTCGGTCCAGTCAGTAAATCAACACATCCGACGCTGTCAGAAGATCTGGAGAGAAACCATCGCCACCCTCAACCGATCTTCAGAAACCAACAAACGCTTCGCTGACGCCAGGAGACGTCCCGCCCCCGAGTACACAGAGGGCCAAGAGGTATGGCTGTCCACTCGGGACATTCCCCTTAAGGGGATGTCCCGAAAACCAGGGCCCTTTATTAACCTGAGCCCATTAAAAACCAGTGCCCTTTATAAACCAGAGCCCGTTATTAACCAGAGCCCTTTGTAAACCAGAGCCGGTTATAAACCAGAGCCCGATAAAAACCAAAGCCCTTAATAAACCAGAGCATTTATAAACCATAGCTCTTTATTCACCAGAGCCCTTTATAAACCAGAGCCCGTTATTA